AGGCAAAAAATCAGATGCCAGGTGGAAAATTTTCGTAAAGTGATTAACTGCTAACATTGTTTGTCACTTGAAACAGCCATCTTTGCGCTACGATCAGTACGTTATCAAGAATGCTTTAGAGGAGGCCGATTTGTTAAGAAATCAGCAGCTGCTTTGATTGCAAAGAAACAAGGCTTTGCGTTCCAGAACGATGTGGAAGAACCTGTAGGGTATTATAAAAGATTGTTTCTTCATCAAAACGAAATTAACGTAAATCGCTTTCTCTCAGAATTCATCGGAGATTGTTGATCCTCGCATAGCAAACGAAATCCGCGCACTTCGTGAAAGGGAAGACGAGCTGCGACGAAGCAGAACGGAACTCGGTCTTCCGACCCTCGACGATGTTATGAGCAGATATGATCAAAGGTAAGCTCTAATGCTTCTGAAAAAAAGCAAAAACCATTAGCCTTAGAGCCTATGCGGCGTGGTAGACAGTAGCCCCAGATATTTGTATTGGATTGAGCTCGAATTGATTCTACATTTTTTATTAAGGTTACTTCTCTTTCAATTCACTAGTAGGCTTTTTGATCAGTGATGTTCTCATGCAACTTTCATTTGAATTCTTGGTCTTCGGTCTTAAAACTTCTTGAACTACAGGGTATGTATCCCTCTAGGTGTTTTCAGTCTTCAAGCATCGTTGCTTTTCTTTTGTTCGCTAGAAGTTAGATCACTGTTAGATTTTTTTGAGCTTTTACTCGGATTATGACTCATTTTGTAAAGGAATGAGATAAAGCTTAGACGGGTAAAAAAATTGAATTTCTGCTCCATTTCCATTATTTGAGAAATGTATCTTTGTTTACACCTATGAGATCCAGTTCGAGGAATTATTTGTTACGAATTGGAAACAGTTTGTTTGCCATTAGCTGCTGCTACCTTCTTCAAAACAAAACATGGAAAAAGTCACTTTAATTTTAAATCTGACATGCAGGTGAATTCCAATGTTTTCTTTATTCACTGTGTGCGCGTCATTCTCACGACAGACAGCAGAAGCATACAGCGGAGAAGAAATAGATACCCGGACTACTGTAACGGTCGTTGGGGCATCAAACAGTTTGGTATATTGTAGAAATGCATGTTACGACATTATGATTCACTTGCTTTAATGCACAGGAGCACAATCTGCATTTCGAGCTTCCAAGACTAAATTCACTGATGGATAACTGCTCGTAGAAATAATCAATTTTCTGCAAGCCCTTATAAAGAATTGAATTGCCTAGCTCACCCACTCTCTTCTCACACATCGTAATTTGTGAGTACTGTATGTTTGCAGAGCTTTTGCGAGTAACTGCAGTCTACGCAGTGCCCACTCTTATGACCATCTTCATCAGTTAGGAAACGGAATGTATCCCTCAACTCAGCCAGAGGTTTGTCTAACTTTTCGTTTATCCTTACAAAATATCCACATTTATGCTCGAAGTTTAGTACATTTTCCAATCAGTTGCAGTTCAGTTCATTATTTCCTTATTTATTGTTTCAATATATTATTCTACCCCATTTGTAATGTAGTTCATAAGCCTAACAATAAACTTGCACTGACTTAGCATGAAAAGTTAATCAACAAAATACATTTTGTAGCCTTTTTTTCGTCACAAACGACAAACTAAAGGTTTTTTTGC